ATAAGTTGGACTTCCAGCCAAAAGTGTGGCGCTGCGTCCTCTGATCATCGCCTTATGTACCTCATTCTGCATTGAAAATACACGGTTTATTTTCTAGGTAGTGACTCTGGCTAAAGGAGCTGACGTGACATTGCCGTGCTTTTCATGGTTAGTTTTTTGTTTTCGGTGCTGATAACAAACATTTCAATAACTACTACAGAAAGAAAGAAAAATGTAGGAAGAGACTTCCACCGTTTACCGATTCCTTTGTAGGGATGACCCGTAAAGTCGAGCTCCGTTTAGTATCATGGTCGCATAAGAATGCGACTGGCCCTTTGGAATGATTTGCTGTATCGTTGCGCAGGCTGGTAGCGTCCCATAGGTGCACTTCTTTTGATAGCACATTTCGTGATCACCTGGGTGTGGTTGTTCTGTATGAAATTGAGGACGGATGCGCAAAGAGGACGGCCGGTGAACAGAGAAAAATAAATAAAAAATCGCCGAGAGCTTTTAAAGGAAAGCTTCGTTTGGGAAACCAACGAGTCTACGAGAAAAGCAGTTACAGAACAGAAACTTATGAGACACTGGATGCGGGGCTAGAACAGAGTTGAGAGAACATGGGGACGTATGAAACGCAGACACGAGTGCATTAGCGGCTCTTGGCGTGCATAATTTGGTTATGCATTCAACTCCAACAGTGAATCGGGCTGCCTTGTGTAGGCCGCTAGCGCCCTTGCCAGCCTCTTTCACTCGCAAAGGCGGTATTGCGGGTCCATGCACCTCATTCGCAGCAGGGAATGTTCCAATGAAATGAGTCTCGGGATGCGCCTCGAAAGAACACATCGACCAAGACTGAAGTGAGATTCCGCCAAAGCCAACTGGGTCTGCTAGTCGCTAGCAGACTCGTTCGGCAACATCAACTGACCAGGGCTCTGCAATGATCAAATTGCATTCAAAGGCTCTCCGATTCTGGAAGAATGTCGAATGTATGGCGCATACCGGAGAGGAATTCACCATCGCTAAATTTTTTATCATTGCTAAGCTTTTAAGTCGGCTCAAAAAAAGAAATCCCAGTCTGTGTTTCTTCTTTCGTAGCAGATTGATACAATCATCGAACCCATTGGTATGGCTGTTGCCTTGAGGAGGTTCCATCCCCGGACCATCCGCGCCGTGTTGGCGCCACATCTCCACTCGCACATGTATGATCGAATAGAAACAGACTCACCACATTTCAGCGAAACTGAGCATTTGCCAGCCAGCCGCATGGACAAAGACGCCGTAAATAAATGAGGCAGGTTCATGCACGACTAACAAGTGTAATGTTGCGATAAGTACGTGCAGTGCCTATAGTTTCGCTACAGCTCACGTCACGGTATCAGTGCTCTCAAAGACAGAGCTGTCAATCTGCGTAAGCTGAAGTTAGTGGAGCAGCACGAACAGGACCTTTGCTATCAAATGAAGCTCCTTTGACAGCACCAGCAGTCAATAATCTAACCGAGCGTCATATAAAAAACTTAAAATTTTCGAAACCCAAGGAAGCTTTAAGGCGGAGTTCACGATGAGGGACTGTCCATTATGAATCTGTTACAGGAGGTCAGTGCTTCAGGGATGAAGAAAAACAAGAAAAACAACTCAGAACCCGAGAAATGGGACCCCTTGGCCCGATGTTGGCGCATTGTGACTCATTGGTGTTGACCTCATTAACACTGGCACTCTCTCTCTATCTCTGCTATTCGTCTGGAGCCAGACTGCAAGGAAATGGGCGGGCAGCTGCGACAGCGGCGCGGGAACATCCATGTTGTATTGCCGAGGCATATCTTTTCGCTATGAATTGCGTTCGTTCTGCACCCTTATAGAGTTAACCCCGTTTGTTCACTGGATAAGCTTTCCCATCTTCGATCGTCGAGCTTACCGTGGAATCCTACTTAAACCGTTCTGCATGGATTTGATGAAGCGGAATCAAAGAGAGGTGAAACAATGATAATGCTGATAAGAAGAATCAGAATGGAGGACTCTTCCTGAGAGTTTTCAAATTTGGCGTAGAGGCAAGCCAACCCTTGAAAGGCAGCGCAATTCTTAATGGGCCAGTTTCTCACTCAAAAAAAAGGCTAAGGGAGATTTGCCCAGCGGAGAAAATATGCGCCACAAGAAGCAGTTTCTTGGCTGCCAAGCGAGATGTGACGTCTCACGACGAAAGGTGCTCTCGTAGCTGAGCAGGACTCCTGAAGCACTCCGCCCCGGAAGCGTTTTGTCACATGCGACCAGTTGGTGAATGAGCAAGATTTTTGCTGTTAGCTATTGTGGAAGATCATTTCCCTTTTACCAGTCGTATCTACCAACTTACATGTGTAATGCCTTATCAATCAAAAACACTCTGCTTGTTGGGGCGTCTACATTGCGTTTCTGACGGATTCTCTGCTTTTTTGGCCAATGCGTCCACTGAGTAATCGCTTGTCCCCTCGAACCGTCCAAGTCGTATCGTAGTAGCTTTCTTCAAACGTCTCGTTTAATCATCTGTGCGAGGTTGTGCACTGCCCGAACGAGTTGCACATAGGAAAGGAACGTCCTATGCCCTAAATGACTCCGCCCTACACTTAAGAGGCTCTCAAGGATGAGCTGAAGTTTCTCTTGCACAGCCACTGACATGCCCACTACCACATCGATTTACTTTGAGGGCGTGATCCACCTTCTCTGACATCTGCTTTAGGGGCATCACACTCCTGGATAGATCAAATCAGAAAGCTTGCAGCACACCGCATCCGCAGCGTTATCGTAAATTGATATGCGGGCGTTCTCTAGGAATAATGTAGGAGGAGACACAGCTTCCAGAAGAATGTAATGCGCTCGCGCACCTGAGTCTCGCCTCCCCCGAATAGGGCTTGGTCCCGTTTTCAATAAAAACAAATGCTTTCCACGTTATTAAATGCGCTGCCATCACAGCCCCGTATATTGCGATAGCGCCCCCAAACTTCTAAATTTCAGTGTTTCACCAGAAAACGCTGTGGAAATCGAATCAACCTATAAACCGTCGGCAGGTACAATTGGCAGAGCTTTCATCGCGGCTATCGACTTTTTCAAAGAGGTCCATTTTATTGTTTATTGCATCGTGCAAAACCATTAACACAGTTGTTATATGGCGATAAACAAGTGTAATGATCCTGTAGCCTGGCTGTTTCCAGAAGATTCTTCGTTCCACGAATAAAGTTCGAGATGTCAACAAGTGGAAGTACGATTGGCAACGGGCCATCATGGGCCAAGACTGGCGCCCATTCAACGAAAATGCATGAAGCCGGCATGAGAGTGGAGAAAATCGCGGATAAAGTGAAACGGTTAGCGCTACCGCTGTGATCAGGCATCCCGCAAAGGGTTTAGAGTTTTTCAGCCCCTGTTTAGGACATGCCGCGCATTTGAATCGGCCCCAGCCTCCGCTTTTGTTATTGAACAGTACTCACGAAACCATAAAAAATGACGAAAGTTGGCTCGAGTTCAACTGTTTTATTTCAGGTTTCTTGCAAGGGATAGCGCCAGAATTCGTGTCGGGGATCGTTACGAGCTACGTATAACAGCAGTCGACCGTAACTTGACCGGATATTATCGCTGTGTGAATAAGCACGGAAAGAATCGCGTAGTCTCATCGATGTACTACTTGGACGTCGTCAGTAGAGCGAATATCAAGATGGTGAGAGAAGGCAATTTACATGTGTATCAGTTAAGAAAATAGTACAATGAATGAAAGCTCAAAAATAAGCATG